CACACAGGTTTCAGAGTGTGGTTTTAACTTTTGAATTTTATCTTCCAACTGTTTCTTTTTTCTCACCTGTTTTCTTTTACCAGGGTCCTAATAAGATTTTCTAGGTGGGTGACTAGTTCTTCTTCAAGTTGTGATAGACAATGCCTCTATGTATAGTGATAGCTGCTTTATACTTGCTCAATCATAGATCATAGTCATTGATTAAGACTTCTAACATACGAGGCTTCCAGTTTTGCGTAGTAGTACAGCAGCCGAGGGATCACGGGGCTCCACATCCTACAGCTGGTTTTCTGCCTGTTAGGGGACCCTAAATGGGCCAGAAGTCACCTCGAAGAGGCGGCAAAGAAGGAAGTCCTGTGGACCATGGAGAGATGGAGTATCAGGACGTCCTGTCTTGGTGCTCCACAAAATAGCCAGCAAGCAGGTATGTGAGACGAACGGCAGTTAATGCACTCCGTTTGGGAACAATGTCAGCACTGGGAGTTGATTGCTCCCAGTGCTTTACATAGGAACTGCGCCTGCCCCACCCACACCAGACCTAACCCCACCCATCAAGCCACCATCTGGTCTGAGAGATGAAAACCCCAGTCCTAGCCCCTCCCTTGCCGTCCAGCCATGCAGCCATGCCATCCATAGGTAGGCCCGTTCTTCATCTGTACAGGCCAGCACCGAGTTTCTTGCAGAGGCAGGGGGCCTCAACCGGTCTCCTCCCCTTGGCAAGTGTCGACCCGGCGAGGCGCTGGGAGATGACGTCAGGGGAGAGCATCATCGCCGCAGCAGCACCAGCAGAGCCCTGGAAAGGGGCCGACGACGCAGCGACCGCTCCCATGCCACCCAGCTGAGGCTGGACAGCCCGAAGCCCCAGCAGAGTGGCAGGGCTGGTAAGGCACATGTGGCTTGACTGTGGGCGGCGGGAGTAGCTGGCGGCGTCCCTGCCTCTTGGCCCAGTCAGCCTCGCAGGGCTCGACATGCTGCTCCCCCTACCAAAGGTCTCCCTGGAAGACAAGCAAAGCAGGGTTAATGATTCCGTTCCGGTGTGTTCGTGCCCCCTCATTGCCCCCCCATCTTTTCAGGATATTTGTGATGGTATTTCCTGAGTAAATGAGGGGCATGCACATCAGTATCCTTAACCCAAGATGCTTCTGACAGGGGATAACCTTTCCACAGGACAAGGTAATATACCCCACCCCTTTTTTCCCGTGAGTCCAAGATTTCCTGAACCTCATAGTGGCCGGGTGCTACGGGACCTGGGGTCTCTACAGGGTGATCGTGTGACACCAGTTTAAACAGGCTGCTATGAAACACCGGGTGTAACCTACCTAGAAACCGCGGGAGTTGGAGTTGCACGGTCACGGGGTTGATAACTTGTGCTATTCGGAACGGACCTATATACTTTGGGGCCAACTTCCTACAAGGGACCTGGAGTTGTATATACTTAGTAGAAAGGTACACCAGATCTCCCACCCTGAATGGTTTTTGGGCCCTCCTTTTCTTATCCGCTTGTATTTTGGCAGTATCCCTTGCCTTTGCTAAGGCCTTTCTCACCACAGCCCATACCCCGCTGACTTGGGCTAACCATTCCCCAGGTTGACAAGGTTGGGATTCCTGACCACCAATTCACGTGGTCTTGTGGCCGTCCGGGTCCGCAGCAGGTTCGTAAGGGTAACGCCACCGTAGCAAAAGAGGGAATGAATTGTCTGTAGAAGTTAGCAAACCCCAAAATGCTTTGTAACTGATGGCGGGTTCTCGGGGCTTGCCACTCCAGCACACTCTGTACCTTTTTAGGGTCCATCTCCACCCCCTCCGCTGATATCCGGTAACCCAGGTAGTCCAGGCGGGATTGGTGAAATTCGCATTTTGATAACTTCACATACAGCCGGGCGTCCAACAGCTTCCGTAACACATCTTGCACTAGTTTGATGTGTTCCTCCATGGTCTTGGTATAGATAAGTATATCATCAAGATATACGAGCACCCCGCGGTATAGGTGTTCATGTAGGATTCCGTTAATGAGTTGCATGAAAACCGCGGGGGCCCCTTGTAAACCAAAGGGCATTACCCGGAACTGATAGCCCAAAGGGCAATTGAACACTGTTTTCCACTCGTCACCGGGTTTGATTCTGACCCGGTAATAGGCTTCACGTAGATCTAACTTCGTAAAGACCTTCCCCTGGGCCAGATGGGCCAATAGGTCCTTCATTAAAGGGAGGGGGTACATATGTTCTACACAAACTGCATTGATGCTCCGGAAAGCCACGCACAGTCGGAGTCCTCCATCCTTTTTCTCCTGAAATAGCACCGGCGCTGCTATCCGAGACCGTGCCGGCTGTATGAACCCCCTTGCCAGATTCTTGTCTATGTATTGTCTCAGTTCCTCCAACTCCCACAGAGTCATGGGATACATACGGGGCTTCGTTAATTTGGCCCCCGGCAGTATCTGATGGCACAGTCGGTTGGGCGGTGGGGTGGGAGGCTATCGCATTCCTGCTCGCTGAACACCTCCGCCAGCTCATCGTATACTGCCGGGAATCCGGGTGCCCATTCCCCTGCATCCAGTGCCGTTTTGACCCCTTCCTCCTCCCCTTCCTTTGCGCCGTCCTCCGTCCTCGGTGACCGAGGGCCAGTACCAAGGCGCATGTGACAACATCCACCCTCCCACCATATAGTAAGACCCCACTTATCCAACCAGGCCAACCCCAGGATCACCGCCTCCGTCATGGAGGGAACCACGATGAACCGAAGAACTTCCCAATGCTCCCCCATGTCCAGTCGCACTGGTTCCGTCACTAGCATAGCTGGGCCCCCACCCAAAAGGGACCCATCTACCTGCTCGAAGCGGATGGGGCGAGCCAGGTGATGGACCCTGATGCCGACTTTTTTACGACCTCCTTGCTGACCAGACACTGAGTACAGCCTGAATCAATTAACGCCTGGTACTCGCCGGTATGGCCCGTGGTTGGGCTCGTCAGGGAAATTGGGATGGCAAAGGGGCATATCGGCTGGCTTACCATGGGGTCTTCAGCGGGATCCATGTTGTCATATTCCGCCAGTAGATCATCGGGAACGGCCAGTGTCGCTTCGTTCGGGGCCCGTTGGGAAGTTCTGCCTTCTGCCTGGCAAGCCGCCCTCGAACGTTCCATAGTTTTCTTTGGTGTGGGGCCTGGTTTCCCCTGGGCTACCGGGGTGCTTTGCACTGCCGGGACCGGGCACTCCTCCACCCGGTGTCCTGGCCAGTTGCACCTGAAACATCTAAATATGGGTTTAGCAGGAGGTGCAGACGATGGTGGTTACCGGCTGGAATCCTTCGGCCGTTCCACTCCCTGCCGAGGGGTGGGCTGTTCATCCGTGGGTCGCCAGAACTCCTGTAACCCCGCATCCAGCTCAGTCACCACTCTAAACCAATCCTGGAGCTGGCACGGCACACCTCTTACGACACATGCTTGTTGCAGGTCCTTATCCAGACCATGACAGAAGTGATAGACTAAGAGACGTTCTGGCCATGAACGTAGCCAGCCGGCAGCCCTTTGGAACTCCCGCACGTATTCCCGTATGGGCCAACCTCTCTGCCTCAACCCCAGTACCTCCGTCTCCGCACGCTGCACCCGGGAGGGATCTTCAAACCTGGCCCTCAGTGCCTCCAGGAACATTCCGGCATCCCCCAGCTCCCGGGCATGGTCACTGTACAGGTCGGCAGCCCAGGCTGCCACCTCACCCTGTTATCGCGACCACCATCGCCCAGTGAGACGGGTACAGAGAGGTATACCGGTCCAGGTGGTTCAGGACCTGGCCCATGAGCATCGGCAATCTGTCTGGGTTGCCGTCAAAGGACACCACGATAGGTGGTGGGCCCCACATGAACCCTGTCAGCCATGGGCCCATGGCCTGCGTGCCCTGCTGACTACTGTCCACGGTGGCAGAACGGCGGCTGTTTGGGTCTGCCCCCCAAGACCCTGATGACCCGGAGAGGTGCGTGGGCTGGCCGGTGGGTACAGCAGTCGTGGCCACACCTGGCCGGTCCTCCCTTCAGTGTCGAGACTGGGCAGTTGACACATGCCCCAGAGGAAGCCCGCACTGGTCAAGGCCACTGCTAGGGGGTAATTTGAACCTCGGACTGGCTAGCTGGAACCTAGAGTCGGCTGAGCCCTGGGGAACGGGTGTGCCACTAGCTCTGGGCAGAGGTTGCAGGTAGCCCGTTTTTCCAAACCGGTCCCGGAGGATGTCCAAAGTATATTGGCCCGGGGCTGTGGAATAACTCCACTCTTCCTCTTCATCGCCGGTCATCCGTCTCTCCCACCAGCCAGACAAAGCTTCCTCCCCGCCTGTCACACGTGGCCCACCAGCCTCCGGGGCCTGCTGGTGAGACTCACCCCCCTATGTCCATGGGCTGGGTCCTCTCCTTGGGTCTCATCGACGGTTGAGTCTCCCCTGCCTCCGCTGCCAGTGGTATCACAGCCTCCGATACCGGCTCCGGAATCTCCTCCACTGGTGCAGCCCCTTGGGTTCCCTCCGCCATTCCCTCCGCAGTCGCCTCCTGCCACCTGAGCTCGGGGAAAGAGGACAACGTGTTTAAAGGGAGTGCTGACTTACTGTCAGGACGTCCTGTCTTGGTGCTCCACAAAATAGCCAGCAAGCAGGTACGCGAGACGAACGGCAGTTTAATGCACTCGGTTTGGGAACAAAGTCAGCACTGGGAGTTGATTGCTCCCAGTGCTTTACATAGGAACCGTGCCTGCCCCACCCACACCAGACCTAACCCCACCCATCAAGCCACCATCCGGTCTGAGAGATGAAAACCCCGGTCCTAGCCCCTCCCCCGCCATCCAGCCATGCAGCCATGCCATCCATAGGTAGGCCCGTTCTTCATCTGTACAGGCCAGCACCGAGTTTCTTGCAGAGGTAGGGGGCCTCAACCGGTCTCCTCCCCTTGGTATGTAAGGCAGGGAGCCTCAACCGGTCTCCTCCCCTTGGCAAGTGTTGACCCAGAGAGGCGCTGGGAGATGATGTCAGGGGAGAGCGTCATCGCCACGGCAGCACCAGCGGAGCCCTGGAAAGGGGCCGACGATGCAGCGACCGGCTCCCATGCCGCCCGGCCGAGGCTGGATAGCCCGAAGCCCCAGCAGAGCGGCAGGGCTGGTAAGGCACACGTGGCGTTGACGGTGGGCGGCGGGAGTAGCTGGCGGCATCCCTGCCTCTCGGCCCAGTCGGCCTCGCAGAGCTCGACATGGAGGTTGACTCGATTGGTCTGGGAAAAGTCTTCCAGAAACCAGCAGGAGAAAGGCTAGCCTAACTTCAGAGTCTAGCCCAAGCTACAAGTAGCCGAAGCCCAAAAGCACTATTTTAAGCTGATTGTAAACAATGTGCTTGGATCTGGGTAAGAACATCAATTTTCTCTATTCTACATATTAACTAATTTCCTGGAAAAAAAACCCAAGAAAGAAAAACCTCCACAAGTGAGGAGGTGGAGCTTTGCTCTATCCTTCTGCAGACGGAATTGGCAAATTAAACATTTCATGGGGGAGAAATATTCTGAAATGAAATGAATATTACCTAAATCTGGATAAGTTTGTTATTTGTCTAAAATCTCTTAAGATCTTCATTTTAAACTATGAAAATAGAAGATAACTCTTTATTTTGAAAACTGGAAAAAAAATGAACTGGTGCTGACATCTAGTGGTGGATGAAAATTACAACAACAGTTGCTCTAATATGGTGGCTTCCGGTTCCGGGTCACGGCACCTTCGGACATACGGGGAGAGTTCCCTCCCTGCCGTCAGGTTTCTTTCCATCGAAAGACCCTGGAAAGGGTCGAAAGTCACCCTGGAGGGGCGACCACCGCTGAGGAGGACCCTTACCTAAGTGTGGAAGGGCAGCAGCCCTCCCGCTTGAGCTGAGGCAGCTCCTTTGGATCGATGGAAGAAAGATTGCCCATCAACATGGCCGACCATCTAGCTGCACCAGCCAAAAGCCAAAAGCACTTCTAAGCTCAATGAAGCACGGTGGAAGATCTGGGTGAGACCTTTCCTTTTCTCTGTCTTTACCATAACTGCCTTCCTGTGAAAGCTCCTTGAAACTCTTTCCCCGCTTTCAATTCAGCAGCGTTTGCATACTTGGGAATTTAAGCTTTGGAAAGAAAAGAAAAGAATAACTAACTTTAACAACTAGATAACTGGATTTTTGTTCTGTGGATACCTTGGGGTCCCAAAACATCTTATTATAGAGACTTATCATTTACCTAAACTATTAATTTTGGAAAATATCTTTTTCTTTGCTTTTTTAACTGAAAAATAAAAAAGCTAATTGGCCTTTGGGAAAAGATTTTGTGGTCTGCTGAGGACATCTTGTGGTGAAACTTGGCATAGCAACTGAATTTATTTTTTTAATTGTGCCTGTTGACTCCCTTGATTTGTCCTTCATATTATCCAAAAGACAAGAATTGGAAACAGCTGGCTGGTGAAAACAGCTTTTAGAAAGTGTGGAGATGAAAACTGGCTGACTCTTACTAAACATAGCCTCCACTAAAGGACTATCTTTAATCACCATGGAAACAGAGGAATTCTACCCACAATTCAACTATAAACTTATCCTTGAAAAAAATATTGAAGCTACTGATATTTTTACAAAACTACAAATCGAACCCCAGACTCCAGATGATCAACTTACAAGCCAAAAAACAACAGAAGAGGAACAACAACATCCACAACCTATTAAGAATTTTGGTAATCCAACACTGACTTTAACTACAGTATCTATAACTCCAAAAGCAACAGGAACTGATCAACAAACATACCACATTGAGACCTTAGACAATTTAGCTAACCAAACAATAACTACAACACTGGATATGACTTTCTACTTTACTCAGACAAAATTGGAAGAACAAGAGGACCCAGACTGAACTGATGACAAACATTCCCAACCAAACATGGAGATTTGAATTATTAGTGCAACAACCTAATTATTACAAGGGGGCCAGTTCCTTTGAAAAATTGATAACTGGATGTTCTCCCTTGGTTCAAACAACAAGTGTGGGAATGAAGGGAGACACATCAGTGGATTCAAAGGCACTGGTATGGAAGCCTGCCTGGCACAAAAAGAAAGCCAGAGTTAGATTTAAAAATGGGATTTAAAAATTCACTTAATGGGCTAATTAGCTCTTTGGAGTGATTGGTTTAATATCCAGGATTAAGACTTATAAGGGAAATTAAAATTAATTGTTAGATTATAGTTTTGATTGTCAGATGGAAATACATTAGTGATAATGGAAGATTTTTGTTAATAAATGAAATAGAATATATTTATGAACAAAGTAAGAAGGTAAATTTTGGAATAACATGTCTATTCTAGTTATGTTAAGTATTTTATAATGAAATGAGGGAAATTAAGGTTATCCGAAACTTAAATATTGGTTATAAAAGGCTAAATTGAAACATGGCAATTGGAATTATGTAAAACTTAAAAACAGGACTTGGATATGTATAAGTAAAATGTCATTGATAAATGTATTGAATGATTGAGCTTTAATTAGAAATGTATTAATATGAACATGATATAATATTTAAAGGAACTAGAGCAGTGGTTCTCAACCATCCTAATGCCGCGACCCTTTAATACAGTTCCTCATGTTGTGGTGACCCCCAACCATAAAATTATTTTCGTTGCTACTTCATAACTGTAATTTTGCTATTGTTATGAATCGTAATGTAAATATCTGATATGCAGGATGTATTTTCATTGTTACGAATTGAACATAATTAAAGCATAGTGATTAATCACAAAAACAATATAGCACTGGAGAAGCTTAGTCTTCCTTGCTCAAAAATGTTGGGAGGGAGGGAAGGGGAAGGAAGGAAGGAAGATTGAAGGGGAAAGGAAGGAGATGGAGAAGGAAGGAGATTGAAGGGGAAAGGAAGGAAGGAAGGAAGGAAGGAGAAAGATTGAAGGGGAAGGGATGGAGATGGAGATGGAAGGAAGGAAGATTGAAGGGGAAAGGAAGGAGATGGAGAGGAAGGAGATTGAAGGGGGAAGGAAGGAAGGAGAGAGATTGAAGGGGAAGGGATGGAGAAGGAAGGAAGGAAGATTGAAGGGGAAAGGAAGGAGATGGAGAAGGAAGGAGATTGAAGGGGGAAGGAAGGAAGGAAGGAGAGAGATTGAAGGGGAAGGGATGGAGATGGAGATGGAAGGAAGGAAGGAAGGAAGATTGAAGGGGAAAGGAAGGAGATGGAGAAGGAAGGAGATTGAAGGGGAAAGGAAGGAAGGAAGATTGAAGGGAAAAGGAAGGAGATGGAGAGGAAGGAGATTGAAGGGGAAGGAAGGAAGGAAGGAAGGAAGGAGAGAGAGATTGAGAGAGCCCCCCATCCTCATCCCAGCACCTCTTGCCCTCTCCCAGCCGCCCCCCGGGACTTGCCCGCCCCTCCAGCCTCCTGAGTGCCATCGCAGCGGTGGGGTTGCGGGAGCCCCTTTCCACGCTGCGCAGCCCTTCATTGCCACGACCCTCTCCCGACTAATTGCACACGAGAGGGGCGCGCCCGGAGCGCCAGTTCCCGCTCGGAAGACGCCGCTTCTTCCCTCTTGGCCCGGCCGGCTGGCCTCCAATGCACATGCGGGCATTGCCACTGCCTCGCCCTCTTCCCCGCTGCCTGGCCACTTCCGGAGCCCGGCAAGCCAGGAAGGAGCCGCTCCTGCCCACCAGCCCCAGGGCCGCACCGGGCGCCAGAGGGCCAAGGTGGCCTTTGATGGTGAGGGAGGCGGGCCGGGCGGCATGGGGGAGGCTCTGGTGTGGCACGGAGCATGGCTGGGGGCCAGACCTTTCTGGATTACAAACATTAACTTAACTGTGACTCTAAAGCTGTTTGCAGAGAAAGGAAAACCTTGATTTTTGGCTATTATGGAAAATCAGAGATCTGCAGAAAGAATGTATCAAGAAAAAACAAATACTTTCCAGGAGGAGATGTATGAGATGTTGCAACTAATTCAAACAACAATGATCTTAAACCATGAGGAAATTAAAAATAATTTTGAAAGTATAAATGAATCCATCTCCAATTTGACCTCATGGCAAAAAAACTCTCAGAGGATAATAATGGAGAGGGAGCAGATAAAGCAGATAACTCAATATAAATTGGAGGAAAGAGATTTAAAGATGGAACATAATAATATAAGGAAGTATGACTTGACTCAAGTGGAGAAGAACTTACAAGAAACATTGGACATGGAGAAGATAACTTGTACTCTAAGACCAGAAAATAAATCTGAGGATTAAAAAAAAAAGATTTGACAAAATGGATTGCAGAGCTGTTGGGAGTATTACAAGAAATGGGGAGACAAGGGATGATGAGAGAAACTAAGAGAGAAAGAGAAGACAGGATCTTCAATGAATATGAAGGGGCAAAATCTTTTTACAAAGACATGTTGCTTGATTTGCCTCTTATATCTACAACAACATTTGCAGGATTATGGAAAGACTCTTTGATTCAATGGAATATATTGATTGGAAAAGATGTTTGGCAAAAGAAGGCTAACATGAGAATTGAGGAATTAGATGATGGGATGTATCAGAGGGAATATTTAAAAATTAAACATTTGTTTGAATATGGTTGAAAAAATAGAAAGATTTTAGCTTAAGAGGGATGAACCCCCCAAGTAATATAGTATTCTTTCTTTTCTCTTTCTTTTACTTTGTTTTTTGATATGAGAAATATAAAAATATAAAAATGTCAGAATCCAATTATATTTCATTTCTAGTTATGAGCTATGGAAAACCCCATTTCTGCCCTCTCTGGATTCTGTCATACTACGAAGGGGAAGGGGGATGAGCAAAGGGGTTTTATGGCTCTCACGTCCTTCATTAAAACTTCAAAGGGACTGAATGTGGATCTCACCAAGAGAACTGACCATAACAATATGGCCCATCAGCTTTCATCTACTACTCTCTGAAGTTTCTCTTCTGCCGGTCGAGAGGAAAAGGGGTGGAAATGTGACGCCTGGGATTGTCGCTGGAAGGACGGTGGGGTGGGGGCTGCTTGAGAACACTTAAAACCTTGAATGGTAGGGGTTGGACCCCATATCCTGTCTAGAATGCCTGCAACCATCTTATCTTAATAAAGATGCCTGTTGGAAGAGATATTCCAAGAGTT